CTTGAAAGGGGAGCCCCAGAATGAGCTTGCCACACAACTGGGCTGTTGAATGAGTTTAATTCTTTCTGGACATTTGTCATTTTCTGTACCTTGTAGCAGTCAAGGATGGAGTCAGCAAAGGCACAGAGAGGGAACAGGAACCAATGGGAAGCTGCCCATGAACCACAAGAGTAGTACAGGTGGGATGAGTTCCAGGCACAATTGCCTGTGCTCATGTCACCCACAGCTGCCACTTCCAGAGCTTTCTAACCTGCTGCAAACAGCAGACCTGGCTAGGCAGTGCTTTCAAAGTACACATGCCCAGAGCAGTAAGCTGGAGGCTGCAATATGCACAGGAGTGGGGACTGGCTGGTACACTTGGAAAAAGTTCCCAATTCTTCCCACATGTAAAGGTGAGCTAAGAACTATGAATCCAACACATTTCAGTTTAAAAATCCTTACTGACTACCCTCACAGGACATGGACATGGAAAAATGCCAGAGAATAAAAAACACACTTTTTTTTTCTTGCGTAGAGGTGATGACAGGCAGTGTGCATTCTGTTACCAGGATACTCCTTTTGAGTCATAACCAAGCACTGGCATGTGGTGGTGCTGTCATTTGGCATCTAGAGATTAGGCAAAACAGGGTTCTTAGGGCCGGAGGTGAGGCCATTCCAACCTAGGGTTAGTCAGGTGTGTGACAGGTGAGCCGGATGAAATGGAGTGCCAGGAAGCGCTGGCTGCTCACTTCCTCAGGGGCACCTGTGACTTTGTGCAGTTAGGATGGCTTTGCCCGAGGAAGTATGACTCCACTTCATGCATAGAAAGAATTTGGGGCCACCTGGCTTTATGAGTTGTCTGTGGCCTTTTCTAAGATTTATTTATTTAAAACCCAGAGAAGGAAAAAGAGAGAAAGATCCCCTTTGTGTTGGTTCACTCCCCACCTGGCCACAACAGCCCCCACATGGGGGGTAGGGGGCAGGGAAGCTGAAGCACTTGGAACATCTTTTATTTCTTTTCCCCCAGGCTATCAGGAAGGAGCTGAATTGAGAGAGTGGAGCAGCCAAGAACTGAACTGGGATTCAAATGGGATGCTGGCATTGCAGGCAGAGGCTTTACCCACTACACTACATCATAAAATTGGCCCCTCATGTAAGTTTAGAACAAGAGGTGTTAATGAGCATACCAGATGACCAATGCAGGGCTTTGCTGGATGTGGAAAGATATTCATATCCTCACTATTGGTATTTTATTATGGGGGAAATTTGGGCTTATTTACTCAAAAAAACATTGAAAATTTTCCATGGGGGGGAAAAAAAACGGCATGCTGGGGTAGGTGTTGTGGTATAGCAGGTTTAACTGGTCCTGGTGGCACCTGTGTTAAACTGGATTGCAGGTTTGGGTCCTGGCTGCCCTACTTCTGATCCAACAGTTTTCCAGCTAGTAAGCCTTGGAAAGCAGTAGAAAATGGTCTAAGTCCTTGGATTCCCCTGTGCGAGACAAGGATAGAACGCTTGGCATTTGACTTTGGCCTGGCCCAGCCTGGGCTGGAACAGCCATTTATTTGTCTTTTGGAAACCAATTAATTTTCATGTTTGTATTTCCCAAATATTTCCTCGGTGTCTGTAGCTCATATACGCATGGATTCATGTCCTGGCTGCTCTACTTCTGATCACTTCCTGTTTGTTTACAACAGGGAAAGCAAAAAGATGATGACTCGAATCTTTGGCCCCTGCATACAAGTGGGAGAACTGAGGCTCATGGCTCTTGGCTTCAGATCCACTCAGCTCTGGCCACTGCAGCCATTTGGGTAGTGAACTAGCAGAGATGGATGATCTCTCTGTTTCTCCTCTCCATAAATCTTTCAAATAAAAAATAAATCTTGGGCCCAGCATGGTGGCCTACTGGCTAAAGTCCTCACCTTGAACGTGTCGGGATCCATATGGATGTCAGTTCTACACTTGATCTTAGCCAAAAGGCTGAGAAGTGATTGGGTGTCAGTTCTAAACTTGGCTGCCCCACTTCCCATCCAGATCCCTGCTTGTGGACTGGGAAAGCAGTCAAGGACAGCCCAAAGCCTTGGGATCCTGCACCCACATGGGAGACCTGGAGGAGGTTTCTGACTCCTGGCTTCGGATCTGCTCAGCTCTGGCCATTGTGGTCACTTAGGGAGTGAATCAACAGATGGAAGATCTTCCCCCCGTCTCTCCTCCTCTCTGTATATCTGACTTTGCAATAAAAACAAATAAATCTTTTTGCCGTTGTGGCCACCTGGGGATGGAATCAGTGGACAGAAGATCTGTCTTTCTGCCTCTCTGTATATCTGCCTTTCCAATAAAATAAATAAGTAAATCTTAAAAAAAAAAAAGGTCCAAATGGGCCCAGCACAGTAGCCTAGCAGCTAAAGTCCTCACCTTGCACACACTGGGATCCCATATAGGCACTGGTTCTAATCCCAGCAGCTCCACTTCCCATTTAGCTCCCTGCTTGTGGCACTGGAAAGCAGTGGGAAATGGCCCAAAGCCTTGGGACCTGCACTCGTGTGGGAGACCCAGAAGCAGCTCCTGGATCCTGGCTTTGGATCGGCTCAGCTCTGGCCATTGTGGCCACTTGGGGAGTTAATTAATGGACGAAAGCTCTACCCCTCTGTTCTTTCTGTATATCTACCTTTCCAATAAAAATAAATAAGTAAACCTTTTAGAAAAAGGTTCAATTATCAATTCATTTTTTTTAAAGATTTATTTATTTTATTACAAAGTCAGATATACAGACGAGGAGAGACAGAGAGGAAGATCTTCCATCTGATGATTCACTCTCCTCTTTGTAACTCTACCTTTCAATAAAAAAAAAATTTTAAAAATTAACGAAATTAATATTAACATTAAAATTAATGTTTACATAAATTGTTGTTTCTCCTAATTCTTCAGAGCTTAACTAATTTATCCAATATTTACTGAAAGCTATTCTGTGTTTCATCCTAATTCATCCAGATTTTACAATGAAGTAGGAAGTTGATTTTTCTAACTATTGTGAATAATGTATTCATCCATGTCGGTTCCCTTCTTACACCCACTAGACTCTGCCCTGTTCCCAAAGAATGGTGTCAGTCACGACACTCTGCCCAAGAGAGTGGCCTTAGGAACACAGAACCTTCGCAAACTGCAGCAGCTCCTTCCAAGAGTGAACTGTATGGGTGGACGATCCCAGAGCAGCGGCTCCTCACCTTGGAGAACACTACTTCCCTGTTAGGAAACTTTACCACTCTTGACTCAGCTTGGGGGAGGATGTGGTTGGTGAAGTTTCCGGCCTTTTTGTGGTCATATGTTCTCTCGGCCTCCCGTGGCGCAAGCTGGCCGGGCACACAAACAAGGGCAACTCTGACTTCAGCCGCTTGGATTGGATCTGCAGCCTCCCTCACCCAAGTTCACCGAGTTGAGTTCATGTCAGATCGACAGTACCAGCCTTTTTTTTTTTTTAAGATTTATTGATTTTTATCGCAAAGTCAGATATACAGAGAGGAGAGACAGACGAAGATCTTCCATCTGCTGGTTCACTCCCCAAGTGAACACAACAGCTGGAACTGCGCTGAGCCAAAGCCAGGAACCAGGAACCTCTTCCAGGTCTCCCACACGGGTGCAGGGTCCCAAAGCTTTGGCCTGTCCTTGACTGCTTTCCCAGGCCACAAGCAGGGAGCTGGATGGGAAGTGGAGCTGCCAGGATTAAAACTGGTGCCCACATGGGATCCCGGCGCGTTCAAGGTGACGACTTTAGCCAGTAGGCCACACTGCCGGGCCCCACAGTACCAGTCTTACCCAGCACAAATGGGGATGTGAAAAGCTTTAGATTTTTCCAATTGTTTTTGATTAACTGTTAACAGTCAGTGGGTTCAGGCTACCTGGAAAGGTACATATATATATTCTTATTTTGTTTTTTCCTTTCTCCTTAGCATTTGCTTTAACCACTTCATCTTCAAGCAGAGGAATGGGATGGTGCTATGGTACAGCAGGCAAGGCTGCCAGCTATAGTGCTGGTATTCCCTACGGGTAATGATTTGAGTCCTGACTGTTCCATTTTAGCTCCCCACTAATGTGCCTGGGAAAGCAGTGGAAAACAGTCCAAGTCCCCTGAACCTAAGCGGGAAACCCAGAAGACCCAGCAGCTCCTGGCTCTCCTCCCAAGATTCTTAAACAGCACGTCCATGAGCACTGAGCCCGGAGGAGGAGCGGAAGCCACCATGCAGATACCTAAGCCAACCATTTTAATAAACTGACTACCTGTTGTCAAAAAATAAGTAAAAATAAAAGATAAAACACTAGTCATTATTGAGAACAGGAAAATGTTTATCTCAAAACCATTTAAGATCCTACGTGGGAGACTTGGAAGAAGCTCCTGGCTCCAGATTGACTCAGCTCCTGACGTTGTGGCCACTTGGGAAGTTAACCAGCGGACAGAAGACCTTTCTGTCTGTATCTCCTTCTCTCTGTATATCTGCCTTTCAAATAAAAAATAAATCTTTAAAAGAAAAATTGGAATAAAAACAAAAACCTATTTAAGATCAATGTGGCTTAAGTTTTCACTATAGGTAAAGCATTCCATGGAAGTTCAAATTCCCAAACATTTACATAGAGGTAAAATAGAGGCCTTGACTCACAAGCCAACCTACAGACCACAGGTTTCCAAGCATCTACCATAGTGCTGAAAATACCCATAGCCCCACAGTGGAGTACAATTTCTGGATCCAGTTCCTGCACCCACATTTGAGAGACCTGGATTACATTCATGACTCGACTTCAGCCTGGCCCTTGACTTTTGCTGGCATTTGGGGAGTTTATGCCATAGATTTACAGTTCAAATTTCAGGCTAGCAAGTTCTGTTAGGGAAACTTGTACTTGTTAACAAAATGACTAAAACTACACTATGAAGATGGTAAGCCCTAAGAAGATGGTGAATATTGAACAATGTTCATATACTAAATATTGGCTAATACTTCAAAGTTGTAGGCAAAAAAGACAGGATGCAATTATTTTCCAAAAAGCACTGTTTTTATTTATTTATACAGAGTCAAAACCACTTCAGTGGCAGGAGGGCTGGAGGGGCACCAATATCTAGCAGCCTCCACAATGTTGGCTTGGTGTTACCAAACACACAGGCAAGTGGCATCATGGATTTGGTAAACTAACGACAATGCTTAGTCTCTCTCAGCTAGAGCGACAAGGTGGGCATCAATCTCTGCTTCTGTAAGAATCCTAGGAGCAAATGGGGGAAAGAAAACCCAACTATTTACTCGATAAAAACCTTTTATTACAGAAAATCCCAAACACATATAATAGCAGGAAAAAAATAAATAAATTCCCACATACCTGTTTCCTAACATGAACAATTAACAATGGATGAACAATTCACAACTCTCCCCACACACTATTTTGAAGGCATTCCCAGATATATCAACCTCAACTATGTACATTTTTACTTTACTATAAGATTCAGAATCAGTTCTTTTGAAAACAAAACCATTTAGTTGCAGGTAAGACAGAAAATGCGAATTAATGCAAAGACAAATGATGCCCATACATACATAATGTATTCCATTCAACTAAACCATCATAACACCTTATACCTAGTATAATTTGTTTGAGACATCAAAATTCATTCTAACATTTAGTAAGATTTCCCTCCAAAATTCTAGACTCAATGAAAATGCTTGAGGATAAATTATAAATCTACGAATAGTTTCCCATCTAGAAGGGGCTCCATGCCAAAAAGATGGTATTTTAAAATAATGCTTGCCTCAAAAGGAATCAACTGCTCAGCAATCTGTTACTGTTAAATTTCTATGAAGTGAAATCTATCAAAATGATATTTTTAGTGTAACTGAGGGACAATATAAAAGTTTATATACTTTTAATGTTTGCAATCTTCTGCTAGTTTTATTTAAATATGTCTACTATTATGAAAATTGCAAATGGTAAAGGAGCTTTTTAAATGCACTTCAAAATTTTTTTAAAATAACAATCAAATTTTAAAAATAAAGGGTGACAGGAAGGTTTCATAAAAAAGCAACAACTGCAGATTCCTCGGCGCTTGCTGGAATTCTACCTTTTTTTTTTTTTTAAAGCAAACTGTCCCCATAGGAAAGAAAAGCTGATTCAATCCTATTCTTACACTACTGTTTTAATCACATGTATTTACAGGATACAGTTTGAGAATCTGATAGATACATGTATATGTCTACTGACCAAATCGGGTTAGTCAGTACTCCATCTCCTTAAATATTATAAAACAAATAATAAAAATCTGGTTCGACTTTCCACCTCAGTACATTTGGGGCATTTACTTACTCATATAAATAGGTTATTATGAATTGCAGTTACCATGCTGTGCTGCAGAACAAACTAACTTCTGTGTTGTTTTGAAATAACTGTTCTTAACTCTTTCACATTTTTATTACTTGCAGGCAACTAAAAGAATATTATCAGAAATAATGCCCATTAACAAAAGTCCTTCAAAGGTCTGGTCAAGCTTAGTTTTACCACTTCCATAATCATGTGCCCTTTGGTTGTCATTTGAAGAGACACAAGAAAGTTAAAATGCCTGCCAGCAGTTTGTTGCACACATGGATTTAAACACATTAGTGTTTACCAATCACAACATCCTGGTCCATAGTGTGTATATAACCAGCTCATGCTATTAAAACAAGGAGAATGGATCTGAATCATGGACACTATAAAGTTAATGTGTGGGAGTCAACCACCTAGTGAGTAAGAACATACCAACACCCAGCACCTACAACTCAATTAGCTGCATTCAAAATCTGGCATTCCTGAAGATCTCCAAGTAAAGGTCAGGGAGAAGTCCATATTGCTCTTCAGAGCTCTACTTAGCCAGGACATTAATCAAACCTCCACTGGAAAAAGTGGAAAACTACTATTCTGGGAGTTGAAACTCTACCAACCTAAAGTAAGAGAAAATCGGCTCATTTCACTCCTTACATAATGAAGATCTTTCTGTACCACCTCTGGTGTTAACATACAAAGCTAGTCAGAATTGAGGGAAAAAAGCTGCTATGTTTGTCTTAAAGATACTCTACTAACTTTCGAAATAGATTTGTAAGGTATAATGGAAAAAAAAGGCAAAAATTTTAGTTGATAATCACCAGCAACCATCAAGTTAGGGGACAAAATAATTCAAATGCCTCCAACTTTGCAGTCTGGAATTTTAGCACATGACAAACTTTAAACACATGGCTGAAACATAGCTTACCTGAATTTGGGATTTTCAACAGTAACAACTCCAACTTCTATTTCTGAAGGTTTGAAATCAATTGACAGGACAGTAGACAGGCATGTAATTGCAGTCTGAAAAAAACAATTAACATTAAAATATTTTCAGAGATTCCTAGGCTTTATCATGCCAAGCTTATTCAAATCAAGGATTGGTTAATCAAAAGCTATTTGTTTTTAGTCCACATTTCAGTGTGTGGTTTCGTAATTACACAGTTACTAACCATTTGCTTAACTCTGACTTGTCACCTGCCAATGACAAGAAATTTGTTTCAACCAAATTAAGCTGAAAATTAAATGCCTCTATCAACACCAAAAGGCTTTTAAAAACAGTTTATTTGCTTGATGACCACTACATGCTAGGCACTCTGTTAGAGCTGTGGGATGAAACGGAGAGGATACAGATGAACGCTATAATCGGTACCTTCAAGGAATTTACTGTGGCCAAGACTGTCCTAAGTGCCTTTACAACTGATGTGATTCATTCATATAATGTGAATCACGATTTAAAAACCCCATCAACCTTCAAGAAACATTTAAGCAGGGCAGAGTACCTCCCAGAAGAAAATTACCTTTACATCTTTTCTTAGCATGAGATAGACTCATAACCAAATACACAGTATTGAAGGGCAATGTTTCTCTTGTTACTTAGTAGAACCAAGTCATTCATCTCTAGGATGGCTTTATTCTCAGATGCAAAATAAAAAACTAAAATTGCTTTTTAATTTCTTGCTAGTAAATAAGAAACTTTAGCTTAAGACTGTCAAATACTCTTGAACCTTTTTTACCCTAATTAACTATGTAAAGATTGTCAAAAAAAAAAAAAAAAGGATTGTCAAATACTTGGTGTAAGAATTTTAGCTGCTTCTGTCAATTTTAAACTCCCCAACCACACTAAACAATCCCGTCAAGAACCTTGCAGAAAGCCAGCTCTACTTTTTCATCCCGAACGTAATCTCTCCACGACCTTGTTCTGGAACCATATCTTTTACTAGAGAGATCTGCTTTCTTGCAAATCTGATATGATTGTCTTTCTCTTAGTACTATAGATGCACTACTGCTGCCAAGCATTCATTTTTGCTTTCCAGGAACCAAGTTTAATCTGAGTATCTCGACCATATGATGATGCAAGTATCTGGGCCTGGTTATGATTCCTATACTTACATTTTTCCTACTTTATTGTATATATTTTGTTAAGAGCCATTTATGCAATATATCCATAAACTATGCAGTAAGGAATAGCAATCCTCATTTTTCCAGGTCAGCTGAATGATACAAATTTGATTACTAAACTGTCAAATTAAGACCTTTTTTATCTGTTTTTATTGTAAAAAGATTTAGGAGAGAAGGTTTTATAAAGAGCTTCTGTCTGTTGGCTCACTCCTCATATGGCTGCAACGGCCAGAGCTGAGCAGATCTGACCCAAACCCAGCATCTAGGAGCTTCTTCCAGGTCTCCCAAGTGAGTGCAGGGTCAAGACTTGGGGTCATCCTCTGCTGCTTTCCCAGGCTATAAACAGGGAGATGGATGGAAACTGGAGCAGCTGGGACACAAAAAGGTGCCCATTTGGGATCCTAGTGCATGCAAGGCGAGGATTTAGTCACTGAGCCATTGCACCAGGCTCCAAAAATAGATCATGTGATATGACTTGGCAATGGGTTTTAAAAACTGTTACTAATGGGGCCTGATGCGGTACCCTAAGTGACTAAAGTCCTCATCCTGCATGACCAGGATCCTATATGGACACCAGTTAGCATCCCAGCTGTTCCACTTCCCATCCAACTCCTTGTGTGTGGCTTGGAAAAACAACAGAGGATGGTCCAAACCCTTGGGACCCTGCACCCATGTGAGAGACCCAGAGGAAGCTCCTAGCATATTGGATAAGCTCAGCTCTGAACATTGCGGCCACTTGCGGAGTGAACCAGCGGATGGAAGATGTGTCTCTCTGTAAACCTGACTTCCCAATAAAAAAAAAAAAAAAAAAAAAAAATCAACAAACAAAAACCTGTTAACTATAGCTCATAAGGGATACTGGCACTGCAGGCGACACTATGCCACAAGGCCAGCGCCCAATGCCTTATCTTGAGTTTTTGTTTCTGTTTTCCCCACTGCGCTCTATTTTGAGCTGAGATCACATGCACACAAAAATAAATACCCATTAAGCTGTGGCCAGTGTCCTGGTGTGGCAGGCCATGCCTCTGCCACAATTCCATAAGGGCATTGGTTCAAGAACTGGCTACAGGCCCAGTGGCGTGGCCTCTTGGCTAAAGTCCTCGCCTTGCATGTGTCCAGATCCCATATGGGCACCAGTTCTAATCCCGGTAGCTCCACTTCCCATCCAGCTCCCTGCTTGTGGCCTGGGAAAGCAGTTGAAAACAGCCCGAAGCCTTGGGACCTCTGCACCTGTGAGGGAGACCTGGAAGAAGTTCCTGGCTCCTGTCTTCGGATCGGCATAGCACCAGCTGTTGCGGTGACTTGGGGAGTGAATCATCAGACAGAAGATCTTCCTTTGTCTCTCCTCGTCTCTGTATATCTGACTTTCTAATAAAAGTAAAACAAATTAAAAAAAAAAAAAGAAGAAGAAGAAGAAAAAAAGAACTGGCTCCTCCGCTACCAATCCAGCTCCCTGTTTATGGCCTGGGAAAGCAGCATAGGACAGCTGAAGTCCTTGGGACCGTGCATCCTTGTAGAAGACTGGAAGGAGGTCCTCACTTTGGACCATCCCAGTTCCAACCACTGTCCATTCTGAGGAGTGAATGAGCAGATCAAAGATCTCTGTGTCTCTCCTTCTCTAATTCCACCTTTAAAATTTGTATAGCAAAACAAAACAGAACAAAAACCTGTTAATCATGCACAGACCTTCACTGTTTTTTATGGCACAAGAACAAAGTCAGCTTCTTTTAGGCAACTTACTTCCACTGTCTGTTCAAATGTCCAATCAAATTTCTTTTTCACCTTCTTCTCCAGGAAGCTGGTTGACTCAGTTTGTTTGACTCCTGCAGCAGTGGCTTTGAACCCACAATAGTAACCCGCAGGATCACACTTGTACACCTGAGGGCCTTGTTCTTCATCTATACCAATTAAAATCATACCTAAAAGGAAGATGGGACATTACTAAGTATTTTATACTTTACACAATAAAACTGTATTACTGTGTTATATAACCTGATGTTAACCATTAGTTAAGTCATAAATTTTAGGTAACGTTTTTATTAGCATCATCAAACAAAATAAAGTTTATCACCAGATGTAAATTATATAAGATACATCCCCATGGCACAGAAGAATATCACTGAATCAAAACAAACAAACAAAAAATGTGGGTTAGTGTTCTGGCTGCTCCACTTCCCATCCAGCTCCCTGTTTATGGCCTGGGAGAGCAGTGGAGGATGGCCCAAGTCCTTGGGCCCCTGCACCCAGGCGAGAGACCAAGAAGCTCCTGGCTCCTGGCTTCAGATCTGCTTAGCTACATATGGGCACTGCGACCACTTGGAGAGTCAATCAGTGGACAGAAAATCTTTTTCTTTCTGTATCTACTTCTCCCTATAACTGCCTTTCCAATAAAAATAAATCTTTCCAAAAAAATCTTAAAAAAGGAAAATTTAAATTACAAATGAACTCTACAAATGCATGCCCCAAGCAGCCGTGTGTCTGAAGATGCACCTTTGTTGGAAAGGCAATTATGGAGAGAAAGACAGATCTTCAATGTGATGGTTCACTCCCAAAATGGCTGCAACTCAGTGCTATGCTGATCCAAAAAGCCAGGAGCCACGAGTCTCTTATAGTCTACCAAGCAAGTGCAGGGTCCCAAGGCTTTGGGCCATCCTCTACTGCTTTCCCAGGCCATAGGCAGGGAGCTGGAAGGGAAATGGAGCAACTGGGACATGAATGAGCACCCCTATGGGATCCTGGAACTTGCAAGGCGACATAAAATTTAGCTAACTGAGCCATCGCTTTGGGCCCCAAGCCCTAACCCTTTATTTCCCCTAAGCCTTAACCTTTTTAAGAGATAAACAATAAACACCATATTTAATACTCTGAAATATTCTGCTTTAGGTTGACCCATTTAACTTCAAACCAGTATTTCTTGAATTTATCTGACCAAAGGATACTTTTATAAAATTTAAGGTTCCTGGGCTTGGTGTGATAGCCTAGTGACTAAAGTCCTTGCCTTGCACATGCCATGATCCCGTATGGGTGTCAGTTCTAATCCCGGCAGCTGCAGTTCCTATCCAGCTCCCTGCTTGTTGCCTGGGAAAGCAGTCGAGGTCGACCCAAAGCCTTGGGACACTGCACCCACGTGGGAGACCTGGAAGAAGTTCCTGGCTCCTGGCTCCTGGCTCCGGATTGGCATAGCACAAGCTGATGTGGTCACTTGGGGAGTGACTCATTGGATGGAAGATCTTCCTCTGTCTTTCCTCCTCTCTGTATATCTGACTTTTCAATACAAGTAACTAAATCTTTAAAAAAAAATTAACATTCTGGGCTTGGTGCAGTAACCTAGTCCTCGCCTTGCATGCACTGGAATCCCATATAGGCAACAATTTGTATCCTAGCTGTGCCACTTTCCATCCAGCTCCCTGTGTGTGGCCTGGGAAAGCAGTCAAAGACAGCCCAAAGCCTTGGGATCCTGCAACTGCATAGAAAACCAGGAAAAAGTTCCTGGATCCTGGCTTCGGATTGGCTTAGCTCTGGCCGTTGTAGATAATTTGGTAGTGAACCAATGGATGGATAATCTTTCTCTTTGTCTCTCCTTCTCTCTTGAAATGTTACTTTCCAATAAATAAAAATAAAATCTGAAAAAAAATAAGTTTCTAAGGATTAACAATTGTAGGGAACAGTTTGGGAATGTTGGTATAATGTGAAATGCAATTGCTTTTCTATATTCTAAATTTGAACCTTTTTTTTTTTTTAAATCTCAATGTCCTATTATAAGATACTGCATTAATCAAGTAGTTTATTTCCACTTACAAAGACATGACAGGACAGTTAGGGTGGCTCAACTACTTTGGCGTCTGCCACCACATGGAGACCTGGATGGAGCTCTGGTTTGGTCAGCGCCAGCCTCTGTGGTCATTTGCGAAGTAGATGAAGGATGTATTTCATAAGGTAAGTGTCTTTAAAACGGGGGTGAGGAGATGAGACAGCACTGAGACACAGCAGGCTAAGGTAACACCATCAGCACTGACATCCCATACGTGTGCATGGTCCCCACCACAAGTGTCAACCCTCTGGAATGCTGAGTTAGAGTGGGGTGACAAGTACAGGGAGGAGGAATTTGTGACTTACTTAATATGTAGCTGGGTGGTTACCGATAAGGAGACTTACACATGTGTGCATAGGGGAGTAAAAGCATAGCTATGTCTTTGCTCTGTCACCTGAGGACCTGAGAAATTCACTGTAGTAGCAAGGAACACACTCAACACCCACTTTGTGCTTTCCTTTTTTTTTTTTTCTTAAAGATTTACTTTATTGGGCTAGCACGGTGATATAACAGGCTAGTCTTCCACTTGCGGCGTTGGCATTCCATATGGGTGCTGGTTCAAGTACCTGCTGCTTAATTTACTTTTGATCCAGCTCCCTGTCTATAGCCTGGGAAAGCAGAGCAAGATGGCACAGGTGCTTAGGCCCTAGCACCTATATGTAAACCTAGAGGAAGCCCTTGGCTCCTGACTTAAGATAGGCTCACGTTAGGTTGTTGTGACCATGTGGAGAGTGAACCAGAGGATGGGAGGTTGCATTCTTTCTCTATCCTTTTCTCTGTGACTCTGCCTCTTAAATAAAGATAAAACAAATCATAAAAAAATACGTAAATATGGGCCCGGCGCGGCAGCACAAGTGGTTAAGGTCCTCGCCTTGCACGCCCGGGATCCCATATGGGCGTCGGTTCTATCCCGGCAGCCCCGCTTCCCATCCAGCTCCCTGCCTGTGGCCTGGGAAAGCAGTCGAGGACCGCCCAACGCTTTGGGACCCTGCACCCGCGTGGGAGACCTGGAAGAGGCTCCTGGCTTCAGATCGGCATAGCATCAACTGTTGCGCTCACTTGGGGAGTGAATCATGGGACGGAAGATCTTCCCCTCTGTCTCTCCTCTTCTGTATATCCGCCTTTCCAATAAAAAAAATAATAAAAATAAATCTTAAAAAAAAAAAAAACGTAAATAAAAATAAAAAGGTCACCTGCCTCCAGCCTCCTCCTAATTCAGACCCTTGCAGGCAGCAGCAATACCAAGTGATCAGGTTCCTGATATCCACATGAGACTTATTGACTGATCCCTGGCTTTGATCTCAGCCCAGCCCTGGCAGCTGTGGGCATTTGGGAAGAAAATTTGTGGGTAGAATTGGAGCCTTTTCTTTCCCAAACAGATTTTTAAAAAGAAGAAAAAAAATAATTTTGGTATCAAGTCTCAAATGCCTGCAGGATATGAAGAGGGAAATGAGTTCAGACAACGTTATGAGTGGTTGGGACATTGGCCAGAAGGAGAGCTGTGCAAAGGGTGAAGTTACTGAGAGTAGAGAGGGAAAGGACCAAGCAGAGTATCTGGTGAGCAAACACTCTCAAAGGGACCAACAGACATGCTAAGGATACTGGAGAAAAGATGACCACTTAAAAACTAAGGAAGAAACAGTATTTGTTTATATTGTTTACTTGTGAGGCAGAGAGATTGCTCATCTGCTGGTCTGGTGCCCTCCCTGAAAAACCACACCAGTAAGAGCTGGAACCCCAGTCCTGGTCTCTGGGGATTACAGGGACTCAAGCTCCTGAACTATCACCTGCTGCCTCCCAGTGAGCACATTAGCAGGAAGATGGAATCAAAGCTAAACAAAAACCAATATTCAAATCCAGGCACGTCAACAAGGAATGCAGTACCCATAGCCAGGATCATGCCCACTGTGCCCTGAAGTGAGAGGTCAACACAGTCCTATGCTGAAGAGAAAAAATACTTAATTCTCATAAATGAATGACATAATGTATAAACAATGACAATTTAGAAACACAAAATTTTCAGGCTAACATAATTTATCTGCAATCAGTAAATCTTATCTCTCGCCCAATAAAATTTCACTTGTTTTCACAAATACAAATCTGTTCTCTAATTATGTGCCTATATAACCCCCCAAAATTAAAAAAAAAAAAATTGGCTCATGCAAGCTCTCTGACTTTTCATTTTTTATTTGCTTAAAAGGCAGAGGAGAGGAAGAGAAAGGGAGAGTCTTGCATGTGCTGGTTCACTTCCCAAATAGCTGCAACAGCTGGGGCTGGACAAGATGAAGCCAGGAGTCCAGAGCTTCTTCCAGGCTTCCCACATGGCTGAGCGGCCCAAAGACTTGGATCATCTGCTGATGCTGTCCCCGGTGCCTTAACAGGGAGCTGGATTAAAAGTGGAGTAGCTGGGACCAGCACCATGATGAATGCCAGCGTTTGCAAAGGCTGAACCTGTTACGCTACAATGCTGACCCCAACACAAACTGTTTAGGGTCAGAAGACCTATATGGTTAAGGTGACTAATTTAGATATTTGTACTACAACAGCCTAATGAAATAAGAAACTTGGATCTTTCAAAACACACATCTCCAATAGAAATATTCTAGTTAAAAAGTCCAATGCCATCTGAAATTCAAAAGGTAATACCTAAAATACTATGAAACCTATTGCTCAGAGAATAATGTTGCAGTGTAGCAGATTAAGCCACCATCCAATATGGACAATGTTTTCTTTTTTTAAAGATTTATTTATTTTTATTGGAAAGTAAGATTTACAGAGAGAAGCAGAAAGAAAGAAAGAAAAGATCTTCCATCCGCTGGTTCACTCCCTTAGTGGCTGCAGCAGTTGGAGCTGAGCCAATCTGAAGCCAGGAGCTTCTTCCAGGTCTCCCATGCCCCAAGGCTTTGCGCCATCCTCGACTGCTTTCCCAGGTCACAAGCAGGGAGCTGGATGGGAAGCGGGGCTACCAGGATGCAAACCCAGCACATGCAAGGTGAGGACTTCAGCTACTAAGCTACCGTGTCAGGCTTGGGCACTAGTTTGAACCCTAATTGCTCCACTTTTGATCCAGTGTCAGTAGAAAATGGGCCCGGCAAAATGGCTCAATTAGCTAAAATCTCCCCTTGCATGTGCCAGGCTCCCTTATGGGCTCTAGTTTGTGACCAGTTATTCCACTTCGTATCCACCTCCTGCTTGCGGCCTGGGAAAGCAGTGGAGAATGGCCCAAAGCCTTGGATCCTACATCCACATGGGAGACCCAAAAGAGACCCCTGGCTCCTATGTTTGGATTGGCATAGCAGCCATCTGGAGTCAATCAGCCAATTGTAGATGCTTTCTCTCTCCCTTTCACATAAATAATGTTAAAACTCTTAAACAAAAAACAAGAAATCTATCCTTACCTTATTTTATTATAAAAATTGTCACTATATTATACAATATCCAAACCAAATGTTTAGAACTTAAGGATTACTTAAATGATTTTCTCTATAGGCATTCTCTTAAGAAATTACAACCACTGTACCATAAAATAACAAAAAACGAAAAAAAAAAATTTATGCATTATTTGGGAGAATTCTTAGAACACTTACAACAACCAAGTGGCCTCATTTCAGCATTCTGTGTGTAGACCTGAGAAATATCAGCAATTCTTTTACACAGCATGTCCACAGGAATCTCATAGCCATACTTGTACTTCCAGTTAGCTGCCTCATAGCGTGCCCTCTGTACCTGGGATCTGCTGTCAGCTTTAAACAGAGGGGGGAAAAAAAAGGTTTACTTATTTACAAAAGAAAGAAAGAGCCACAAATCCAGATATTTTCCATACCATATTTATGTATCTTAGTTTCTACCTCCCACCAATGAATCCTGAATGACTTTTGCCCTTTAGCAGAGGTCAAAAGTATTCCCGTAAGTCTAGTGACTTCCAAAAGAACAAGCTATACAGTGAGAATTATTTCTTTGACCTTTGTTTTTAGACTTTGAATTTTCCTTAATTTCAGAACACATAAGCCTAAAGATAATTTTCACCCACTTTTAACTATTAGTCTCACCGTTAAGAAGAGGTTTAAGATACTCTTAGGTTGCCTTAATGTATTAATTATATCTAAAATGAATCATTTATGACAAGAGCCTCAGCCCAGACTGACAACAGCGTTAATGACTAATTCCATTAACTTAAAATACGCATCACACCGATTACCTGTCATTCCTGTCATCACACAGCCGATATTTTCGGTTATCTTAAATAAGTGAGTCACCGTACTGGAATCCAACAATTTGTCCTAATGAAAAAATTAAACCATGATAACTTAAAAAAAAGATAGATCTCTGCACAGTCACAAAAGAAAAATACTCTGGAACCAAAACAATGAGCTATACATTTCAATGTCTTTTGCTTATTTTACAGCTAATACAATTTTTAAAAAGGGGATAAGAAGACTTCCTTTCTAGATGTTTCTTGTGGACATAGAGCTTCCCAAATTTGTCTTAAAGTCCCAAAAGACAAAAACTTGGAAACCTTATCATGCTTATATAATAATATCACAAAAATTGTTGCATTTACCACATAGACTGTAAGTTCCGTAATAACGATATGGACAACAGGTGGTACTTACAGGTACTTTCTTCTGTGTAACAATTACTGCACAGTCTTTCCCTCTGACAGCTACTGACGTCAGGCCTCCCTGATTAATAGCCTTAAAAGCATATTCTGAAAAACAGAATATTTTTGGGGAAAGGGAAAAATAATTATCAGACTTGTACAACACAGTATACACATTCATTAAAAAGAATGCAGCAGAGCTGTGAGCATGGAATGCCATTCAAGACATGCAAAGCCAAAACAAAATTATATTTGAACTATTTATTTACATTTTCACTGTACTTAACTTATTTCCATCAAACACCTGATAAAGATTTAACTTAATTAATTTTGGTATTGTCTGGGTTGATTTTGTTTCATTATCATAAAAGTAATTGCTACTATTTTTTAAAAAAAATATTTTATTATTATTTTTATTGGAAAGGCAGACATCAAAGAAGAGATATAGAGAGAAAGATCTTCTGTCTGCTGGTTCACTGCCCAAGCAGCTACAACGACAGGAACTGAGCCGACCCGAAGACAGGAGTCAGAAGTTTCTTCTGGGTATCCCATGTGGGTGCAGGGTCCCAAGGCTTTGCGCCATCCTCGACTGCTTTCCCAGTCCACAGACAAGGAGCTGGATGGGAAGTGGAACAGCTGAAACTAGAACTGGCACCTATGTGGGATCTTAGCATGTGCAAGGTGACGTTAGCCACTAGGCTACCACGCTGGGCCCGCCATTTTTTTTTCATTCCATTGATTGATTGGAAAGGCAGATATACAGAGAGAGAGAAAGAGACACAGAGATCTTGCATCCGCTTGTTCACTCTTCAAGTGGCCTCAATGGCCAGAGCTGAACAGATTCAAAGCCAGGACCCAGGAGCTTCTTTCAGGTCTCCCACAGATGTGCTGGGTTTCAAGGCTTTGAGCCACCCTCTATTGTGTTCCCAGGCCACAAGCATGGAACTGGATCGGAAATGGAGCAGCTGGGATATGAACTGGCACCCAAATGGGATCCCAGCAGATACAAGGTGAGGATCTATCCACTAGGCTGTCAAGCAGGGACCCAGCTGCCATTATTTCTTTTGGTTTTCTTTGGTCAAATTTAACTGCTACAAACTCTTTTAGTATTTATACACTTATTTATTATATACAAATATTTGCACCCACACTACAGGTTTACATTCATAGGGGATTATTCTTCCCCCTATAAGTTTGTGATATTTATAACTTTTAGCTCTTGCTCAGCCATCAATTTGACCAGAAGCAATTAGAACTGTTACCAGACTACTCTGCACTGATTTTTGTCTACCAAGGTGAATTTTTCTATGTCATACTTTAGCAATATTTTTATTACCTAGAAACTACGGTTCTTTATTTGCAAGAAGCTTTGCTTGTGCATTTCTATGTGCTTTGAATCCATCACCTAAGTGTACTGTGTTGTGGGGCAGTGTGTCAGCAGCCACTGTGATGTTGGCATCCAACATCAATGAGCTCAGGTGTGAGCTCCATTTGTGTTCCAGCTCTCCGTGAATGCACCACGGAAAGCAGCAGATGATGGCCAGAGTTCCAAGACCCGGCCACTCACATGGAAGACCCAGGAAGGAGTTCTCATGACTTTAGTTTACCATGGCCTAACACTGGGCATCATGACCATTTGAAGAGTGACTCAGTGGATGGAAAATCTCTGTCTTTCTCTCTTCTACCTGCCTGGAACTCTATCTTTCAAATAAGTCATACAGGGCCTGGTGGCATGGCCTACAGGCTAAAAAGTTCTCGTGCTGAACGCACCAGGATCCCATCCATAGGCACCAGTTCTAATCCTGGCAGCTCCACTTCCCATCCAGCTCCCTGCTTGTGGCCTGGGAAGGCAGTCAAGGACGGCCCAAAACTTTGGGACCCTGCACCTGTGTGGGAGACCTGGAAGAAGTTCCTGGCTCCTGGCTACAGATTGGCACAGCACTGGCCGTTGCGCTCACTTGGGGAGTGAATCATCGGATGGAAGATCTTACACTCTCTCTCCTCCTCTCTCTGTATATCTGACTTTGTAATAAAAATTTTAAAAATAAATCTTAAAAAAAAAACACAAAAACAAGTAAGTCATACAAATGGCTAGCATTGTGGCACAGTGGGTTAAGCCCTAACCAGCAACACCAGCATTTTGGATGGTGGTTCAAATCCAGGCTGCTCCACTTATGATACATTTCTGTGCTAATGTGCTTGGGAAAGCAGACCATTACCCAAGTACATAGGCTCCCATGTTGGAGTATGGATGGAAATCCAGACTCCTGACTTCGGCCTAATCTAGCCCTGGCAATTATGGCCATTTGGGGAGGGAACCAGCAGATGAAGATCTCTCACTTTTCCCTCTCTCTGTATGCAACTCTGATTTTCCCCTCTGCTAAAGGTTTTTATTTGGAAGTTACAGAGAAGACAGAAATTTCCCTGGATATCTCTCCTCTGAGACCACTCCTCCAATGGCTGCAAAGGCCAAGGTTGGGCCAGTTTCCAAAGCCAGGAGCCAGGAGTTTCTAGGTCTCCTATTTGGGTGGCAAGGGCCCAAACACTTGGGCCATCTTCTGTTGCTTTCCTCAGGCCACCATCATGAAGCAGGACACAAAGTGGAGCAGTTAGGACAGGAACTGGTACCCATATGGGATGCTGGCATGCCAGGTAGAAGCTTCACTCACTATGCCACAATTCCAGTCTCTAAAATAAATCTTGAAAAACAAACAAACAAACAAACAAACAAAAAAACCAAGCAGGCAAATAAAAAGATTGGCATCTGAATTACAGCATACAAGCTTACTACTCTAGCACCATGTAGTTTCGCTGACAATGGCTACCTTGAGACAGGAAGAATTACCTGTTGTTACGTGTTTCTGTAACATTTAAATTTGGTAATAAAAACATATTTGGTAATTAGGAAAAAGTAACAAAAGGTAAGTTCACAGTAAAATTTAAGGAAATACAGATGAGAAAAAAAAAATCAACCATAATTCTATCATTACTGACACAGACACATTTTTAAAGGATTTACTTCTTTATTTGAAAGGTTAAGGGCAGTAAAGATGGAGTACCTCCATCTGATGGCTCATTCCCCAAGTGCCCACAACAGCCAAGGCTGGGCCAAGTCAAAGCCCTGAGCTGGAACTCCATAGGGGTCTCTGCCGTGGGCAGCAGCAACTCAAAGGTCTCCCCCTGCTGCCTTCCCAGGCACACTGGACCGACCTGGGCTCGAAGCAGCAGAGTCACTACAATCTGAACTAGCACTCCGATATGGGATAAGGTTCCTTTTTACGTAACACTGATACATAATAAATAATCTGAAAGCATTATGTTGGGCACTGGATCTAAGGCCTGGCCTGAACAGGGTGTACAAAATATTATCTATGAAACCTCCAGTCTCTACATACAAATGCACAGGCACACACCAAGAAGTTTAGTTATGGAGCTAGGTAACTCAAGTCGAGATGTGAAATGCCACCCAAGAAGCAAATTTCGTAGCTTTCGTAGGCCACTAACCAAATAGTGGCCTAGTAAATTTTAGAGCAAAATACAACACTTTAAGAAATATAACAGAACCCTGTCTTCTCATATGTCCAGGACATAATTCAGAACTACTTGACATATACATATAAAATCAAGCCATGCCAAACCAAACCCAAACCCAAATCCAAATAAACACGAAGCTTCCATTTCCTATGGCTATATCCCAGGCAGGACCCTCCAAATTTAAAAAGACATTTATTTACTTGAGGGTCCAGTGCCCTAGCATAGTGGCGAAATCCTCACCTTGCATGCACTGGGATCCCATGTGGGAATCAGTTCATTTCCTGGTTGCTCCACTCCCATCCAGCTCCCTGCTTGTGGCCTGGGAAGTCAATGGGGGATGGCCCAAAGCCTTGAGACCCTGCACCAATGTGGGAGACCCGGAAGAGGCACCAGGCTCCTGGCTTCGGATTGGTTCAGTTCTGGCCATTGTGGCCACTTGGGGAGTGAACCAGTAGATGGAAGATGTTTCTCTATCTTTTTCTGTCTGTAAATCTGCCTTTCCAATAAAAATAAACACATCTTTTTTTTTTAAAAAAGGAAAAGATTTATTTACTTGAAAGGCAGTACTGGAGGTGGGAAGGATTCTCCTTCTGCTGGCTTACTGCCCCAAGTGGCCAGATCCTAACTACCTGAACCATCACCAATGCTTTCCTCAGTGCACTGGCAGGAAGCAGGACAGCTGGGACTCAAACCACCACTCCAAGTCAGCTAAGTCTGCTTCACCATAACAACTGTTATCTCTTCAAACCTTTCTTGGATTCGTATGGTATTCTTTCTAATTCCCTATATTTATTATGCTCAAGTGTATATTTTGCCCCTTGCACATCCAAACTTGGTGGATAAAAGTAGAAAACAAAGAAAATTTTAAAAATTCATGATCAGTAGACATTAAATCAAAGGCTGACCATGGATTAAATCCAGTTTACGAAAGTTGGTTTAGAATAAAGGTTTCTGAAAAAAGATTTTAATTAACATGAATTTTAATTTATGTTAAAATCAGCATTTTGTTTTCTTTTTAAGATTTATTTTATTTTTATTAGAAAGTCAGATATACAGAGAGAAAGAGAGGAAGATCTTCCATCCGATGATTCACTCCCCAAGCAGCCACAATGGCTGAGCTGCGCCAATCTGAAGCCAGGAGATTCTTCCAGGTCTCCGTGCAGGTGCAGGGTCTCAGGCTTTGGGCTGTACTCATCTGCTTTCCAGGCCACAAGCAGGGAGCTGGAAGGCAACCATTGCCCATATGGGATCCTGGCACTTGCAAAGTAAGGATTTAGCCATTGAGTCATCACACTGGGCCCATGCCACCTATAATTTGTAACACACTTTGTCTTTATAGGATTCCCAAGTTGATAAACTAACAACATTTATATTATGTAGTTCACTGGAAAACTCTGCATGGGTGGACCCAAAGAAGAAGAAATATTTTGGGACAGGCAGTGTGGGGCAGGTTAAGTTGTCACTTGGGATACCTGCATCCCATATCAGGATGCCAGGATGAGGCCTGACAACTGCGCTTAAAATTCAGCTTCTTGGGCCAGGCAGTGTGGCCTAGCAGCTTAAGTCCTCACCTTGAACGTGCCAGGATCCCATATGGGCGCCGGTTCTAATCCCAGCAGCTCCACTTCCCATCCAGCTCCCTGCTTGTGGCCTGGGAAAGCAGTCAAGGACAGCCCAAAGCTTTGGGACCCTGCACCCCTGTGGGATACCCGGGGGAAGTTCCTGGATCCTGGCTTCGGATAGGCATAGCATCAGCCGTTGCACTCACTTGGGGAGTGATTCATCGGAAGGAAGATCTTCCTCTCTGTCTCTCCTCCTCTCTGTATATCTGACTTACCAATAAATAAATAAATAAATCTTTAGAAAAAAAAAAAATCCAGCTTCTTACTAATGTGCCGGCTCAAGCAGCTGAGTCCCTGCCTCTCCTGTGGGAGACCTGGATGGAGTTCCTGGCTTCTGGCTTTAGCCTGGGTAGATCTGGCTATTGCAGCCATTGTGGGGTGAACCAGCTGACTTAAGATCTCTGTCTCTGAACCTTTCAAATAAAAGCATAATTGCGGGGAAGGGAGTGGGGTGGGGGGAACATTTCCTGTCTAGGAACTACTAATGTAACAGACTTGAAAGTCAAAGAATCAAATGCACAATCTTTCCTGGGCATTTCATATGGAAGTGGCAGCCACACACTACACAAACATGCTACGCACATCTCCTAAGTGAATCCTCAAGACAGGCCTAGGGTTGGCACTGATGCTAGTTAAAACACTGTCTGGTGGGGAGGCACTATGCAGCAGTAGGTTCAACCTTCTTGCCTATGGCACCGGAATCCATATGAGCACCAGTTCAAGTCCTGGCTACAACACTTTCAATCCAGCTCCTGCTAATGTATCTGCGGAAACAACAGAGAATGGCCCAAGTCTTTGGTCCCCTGTCCCCACGTGGAAGACCTGAAAGAAACTCCTGGCTTCATTCTGGCCCAGCCTTGGCCATTTAGGGGGTGAACCATAGGACAGAGATCTTTCGATCTCTCTTCTCTGTAACTGCACCTTTCAAACAAAAATAAATAAACCTTAAAAAAAAAAAGCCCAGTGGGAGGGCTCAATGGCTAAATCCTCACCTTCAAGTGACAGGATCCCAAGTGGGTGTTGGTTCCTGTCCTTGCTGCTCCACTTCCCATTCAGCTCCCTACTGATGGCCTGAGAAAGCAGTACAGAATGCCCCAAAGCCCTGGGATCCTGCACGCATGTGGGAGACCCAGGAAGCTCCTGGTTCCTGGCATCAGACCAGCTCAGCTCCAGCCACTGCGGCCATTTGGGGAGTGGACCAGGGGATGCAGGAGCTTTCTGTTTCTCCTTCTCTCCATAAATCTGATCTGTCTTTCCAATCAAAGTAAATGAATCTTAAAACAAAACCAAAGAGAAAAACATACTGCTTGAGACACCTTTACCCCATATGGGGTGCTTGGTTCAAGACCTGGCTCCTCTGCTTTCAGTCCTGCTTCCTGCGAATGCACATCCTAGCAGTAAGTGCTGGCTCAAGCACTGAGTCCCTCTTACCCACAGAGAAACTCAGACTGAGATCCAGGCTCCTGGCTTTGGTTTGGTTCGGCCCTAGCTACTGCAAGCATTTGGGGAATGAACCAACAGGTGGAAAACCTGTTTTCTCCCTTCAGTGAAAATAAAATAGTTAAAAAAAAAATATATATATATATATATATGAAAAAAGGATTTATTTTAAAGTGACAGTGAGGGCCTGGCGCGGTGGCCTAGTGGCTAAAGTCCTTGCCAAGATCCCATATGGGCACCGGTTCTAATCCTGGAGGCCCTGCTTCCCATCCAGCTTCCTGTCTGTGTCCTGGGAAAGCAGTTGAGGATGGCCTAAAGCCTTGGGACCCTGCACCCATGGGGGAGACCCAGAAGAGTCTCCTGGTTCCTGGTTTTGGCTTGGCTCAGCTCCGGCCTTTGAGGCAGCTTGGGGAGTGAATCAGTGGATGGAAGATCTTTCTGATTTTTCTCCTCTCTGTATATTTGACTTTTCAATAAAAGTAAAATAAATCTTTAAAAATAATTTTTAAAAAATATTTTTAAAGTGATAGTGTATATATATTCACATGTGAGTGTGGGCTGTCCCATACAGAAAAACAACCATCATGAATGGGCCTAAACGTTTTCCCATAAACAGACAAAAGAGGCAGCAGGATCTCCAAGGGTGGTCTGTGGCAAACAGAGCAATAAATATCCTTTTTATGATTTTTTTTTGGAAAGGCAGACTGAGAGAAAGGGAGAGCTGGAGACAGACATTCCATCCACTGGTTCACTCTCCTAACGACTGCAATGGCTGGGGTGGGGCCAGGCCAAAGCTGGGGATCTGGAACTCCACCTGGGTCTCTCACATGGGTGGCAGGGGCACAGATGCTTGGACTAGCATCTACTGATTTCGCAGGCACATTACCAAGGAGCCGGATCAAAAGTGGAGCAGTCTGGACTTGAATTGGTGCTATACGGGACTCCCACATTGCAAATGGTGGCTTAACTGTTGGTGCCACACTAACCAAAATCAATTTTTTAAAAATCCTGAGGCAACATCATTTAAAAAACAGAGCAAGCAAGAGAGAGGAAAAAAGCACATAAGGGGGAATTATTGGGCCAGGTGCAAGAGCCTAGTGGCTAAACCCTTGCCTTGCATGCGCCAGAATCCCATATGGGTGCCGCTTGCAGAGTCCTGGCGGCCATTTCTCATCCGGCTCCCTGCTGTGTCCTGGGAAAGCAGTCGAGAACAGCCCAAAGCCTTGGGGCCCTGCACCTGCATGGGAGACCCTGAAGAGGCTCAGGGCTCCTCCTTTGGATTAGCTCAGCTCTGGCTTTGCGGACACTTGGGCAGTGAGTCAACAGACGGACAATCTTCCTCTCTGTATCTCCATCTCTAAAACTGTCTTTCCGATAAAAATAAATAAACTGGATCTGATGTGGTAGCTTAGTGGCTAAAGTCGCCGCCTTGCATGTACTGGAATCCCATATGGACACCAGTTTGCATCCCATCTGTTCCACTTCCATTCCAGCTCCCTGCCTGTGGCTTAGGAAAGCAGTAGATGATGGCCCAAAGCCTTGGGACCCTTACTCGCATGGGAGACTCAGGGGAGGCTCCTGGCAATAGGTTTTGGATTGGCTCAGTTCCGCCCACTGCAGCCATCTGGTGAGTGAACCAGCGGAGGGAAAGTCTGTCTCTCCTCTCTGCAAACCTGACTTTCCAATAAAAATAAACAAATCTTAAAATAAATCTTTATTTTTTAAAAAAGGATCAATTATTTCAGCCCTGACTTGACACACAGAAATCAGGCCAGAGCAGTGAACCCGGGCATGCGCCAGGGCCTGCACACTGTACTGCTTGCTCATACTAAGGTTCCTTTCACTTTCTCTTCCCTAACACCATCTAACTGATGACCCCGAACTGCAGGAAGAGTGCACTGTCCAGCACAGCAGGGATCATGTTCAGACAATAACCTTGCTTTCAATACCAATCTCCAAATCCTCAAAAGCGACTACAAGGTTGTTATCAGCATTTCTGCTCACCAGCTCTGGGAAACATTGAAGAAATGCTCACTGTATGGCTCGATGTGTCAGTAGTCTATAGAAGCAAGGTATTGGTCTAAATGTCACTGCCCGTCACACATTGAATCCAGTAAGCAGGACAGGGTCCAATTCAGAAAACACCTTTTGAAACTCAAGAACAACACACTAAGAATGGAAATCCCTCAGGGTTCCAGTCATGCTCGCTTCCCACTATCTGTGATCATGAAAACAAGCGAGAAGTGGAAAGGGGGCCTCAAGCACCCAGCGTCCCTTGCTACACTACGCAGAGCACACAGCAGGAAAGCTGACCAGTTGCCAACCCAAGTTATCTTTCACCTATTTTTAACGTTTACAGGTGAATAAAACTTTATTGATGGGCCAACTCTTCTTGCCCACGAATTCTAGGCAAGATGACTGTTATTATCATCCTTGGGGAGGCCCTGAGATGCTGCATTCACTCTACAATAAAACTATTGGGGGACCAGAAGCCAAGCGGCCGCTCCTAGCATTCAGCTTTCTAAGGCAGGAGGCCAGAGTTCCGGCTCCTAGACACCTGAACCCGAAGACAACTCCAATTCAACAAAATACCCTTTTATACTAAATGTCCGAGTCAAGCCTCCTCCTGGCAAGACTCGCCCCTGGAATACCATTCAGAACCCTTCACTGGATCTGCAAGCGTTCTACGGCTGCCCAAACGTGCCAATACCTGTAACGCCGTTCTTTGCAGCTTGCTTTGGATTCGTTCTTTTAACGCGTGCATCACCCTCTCCCGGGACGAGCCGTGCGTTTTCTGGCATACGAGGCCAAGCATGCTTGAAGCAACCGTGCGGCCTGAACCAGGCGACGCACAAAGCGAAACGGGGAGAGGCGGAGTGTTCGGGCCGCGGGGTAGACGAAGGACACTGCTCGCCCTGAGCACAGCCGGGCCTTGAGCCCCTGGGGCTCCGACCCGGCCCCCGGCGCCGCTCCTCTCCTTCCTTCCCGACTCCGGCCCCGCGGCCGCCAGGACTGCCCGGGCCCCAGGCCGCACGCCCGCACCACGCCGAACCATGACAAGGCACTCCTCCGGCGCCCCCGTTCACTCACCTACTTGGTAGAGCCGCCCCTCCGGGGAAAAAATGGTAATGTGGCGGTCGAAACCGGCGCTGGACCCGCGGGACATGTTGGCGAACCGCCCCCCTCCGTCCTGCACACTCCCCGGGGCCCGTCGCTCCCGCACCCCGCGAGCAAGGCCCTCCCAGACGCTGCAGCGACTGCTTCCGGGGCACCGGTCCGGCGGCTTCCGTTGCGGCGTGCGTCGGCGCGCCGCGTCCCTGGCTCCGCCCCTAGTGGGGGCGGGAGGTCGCCGTGTGCGCCTGCGTCAAGTCCGGGCCTGAAGCGCTGGGAAATTGAGGTGAAACTCGGGTCGGGGCGTCTTGCAGGGCTTTGATCGGGAGGAGGAGCTGACGAGAGCGAGAACGAGAGCGCTTTCTTGGGTCGCGGAGTAGCGATTTGCCTAGCGGTGTGACCTACATAGGTGCTGTCATTTAACCATACTCGTTCGTTTCGTTGCCTGGTATCCACCTCTTCTCTACCCGCCACTTGGCCGCGGTGAAGCGGATTGCAGGTGTAGGAAGAGCAGCTGCCCGTTCCTGCAAGCAGTGAGGGCAGCGGGCTTGAGTAGCCGCTAGAAAGAATGGAATATATATAATATATATATATATTTTTTCTGGCCAGGCCCGACGGTTTTTACTCTTACAAGTGAAACTTGAATACTGATGAGGTTAAGCAGCTGTGATCAATAACGAACACCCCGAAGGTGATGGGGTGTATGACAGGCTAGTGTTAGATGGACACAGAGTGGGAGTAGCAGGAGACTTTTTTTTTTTTTAGCTTTTACTTCAAGGCGCACCTCTGTTTAATGAAAAAAAAGCAAAACACGGTGTTAGACTAGAACCAAGCAAACCCTTGGAAGGACAGTTTGTGCACGCTAAAGGCCAGATTCGTCACTGCGTGACATTTTAACGCCTGTTCTAATACTGAAGAAGGGATTGTGTTACTTTTTAAATGTATTTTCTCCCAAGTTTACTTTCCATTTTAAAGAGGAAAATCGGAAAGTGCCTCCCAAGGATACTCCCCTTTCTCAAGAGTACTTTTAAAAAATTTCTATTTCCTTAACCTGAAGAAGAAAATTCAAAACTGAAAGGCAGTTAAAAAAAAATGGCTAGTGCAGACAACATCTCCGGCAACCAAGGTGCTTTCCAGCGGTGGCTAACGTCCAAGGGTTCGGCTGGACGTGCTCGCCTCTCCTCCCAGGACCAGTACTGCTGACCTTTCAAGTGCATGTTTTTGTTTTCTCAGGCTCTGAGAGAACCCGGTGTCTGCAGGTCCAGGGATATGAGCCTTCACATCTGGTTCCATGCATGGCTGCTGGATTTAGATCTCTACCTGGCTGCTTCTCTGGGACTGACTCTAATTGCTTATGGGATTTTTTTCCCCCCACATTGAGACACATGGCACTTCAAAACCCAAATGTTTAAAACACATCTCATCTCTTTGCTTCAGAGCATTTCCTGAGCCCCGGCACTAGACTTTCCAAACGCCAGACCATGCAGCGGGCTTAATTCCCAGATCCTTTCCCAGGCTGCCGCCATCACACTCCTGCACTCCCTAGTCTCTTTTTTTTCTTTCCACTTTATAATGAATACTTTTATTTACTGCTGATTGCTCTGCGCCTACCACCCCACTTCTTCCTTGCCCCCAGTCTGCATTAGCTGGAAGCTGGATCAGCACCAGGCACTATAAACTGTATGTGGACATCCTAAGTGGAGACTTGATGGTTCCAAGTGCCTACCCTGCTTTTTGGGGGGAGAGATATCTACAGTATGTTATCAGTATCTCATTTTAGTATTCCTAAGGTTACTTCTGGAAGGACTTCTATTTCATTTTCAATACAAGCCCAAGTTGAAAGCAAGATTCAGAACATCTGGCTCCTGGAGGTCAGTGGGCACATCTGTTTTGTCTACCAGTGTATCCTCAGTGCCGACCAGTGCCCAGCAATATGTAGGTGCTCAGATCACCCACTGCAGATGTATTCTTACTATGTGGGTTTTCTATGGTGGTGTCACCTTCCTTCCTTCACACACAAAAAGTAACTGATCATGTGCGAAATTCAGATCTCAAAAACCGAAGCAGTAAGAGACTGTGTTTGAGACAATGAGGTTTTTCCACAGAAGCAGATGAATTCCTGTGGGAACCCATGCTGATTTCATCACCCAGGGAAATCCCCAGGAAGCAGATTTCACGGACGAAGTACCCCCGGGTGCCAGCTAAGCTGCTGCCCAGGGTGGACTTCCCCCTAGGCTGGGGAGCTTTCCACCAAAGCCTGGGTGCTAATCCTCCCGCAGCTTTAACTCAAGCCGGAGGGCAGACCAGACTTGCTGTGTCTGGATGGAAAGTTTGATCTTTCTCTCTGTGGGGCCAGAGACTTTTTGAAATGACTTTCTGGTTTTTTGAGAAGTTTTAGAGATGACTTGACATCTCGTGAGTCTTGGAAAATCTCCAAGGCCTGGGTTTGGTAAGGCCCACGTTCTCCCCTGAGGGTGGGGTTGGCAGAAGGTATAGGTTACCCACAAGGCAAAAGTAAAAAAGTGGCCATGTGGAGTCTCAGATTTTGCAGATATGCTGAAGCACATGGCATTTAAGGCAAGATAACAATTTAACTCAGTGGATTAAGGTGCTCTGCTGGGATCTTCAGTAATTCCAGGCCTAGTGAAGTGTTATTTCCACGCATCAGCAGATGTTGGAACACAGTGCTCTGAGCCGGTTGTAAACACTGATGGTAGGGTGTCTTAGGAGAGCTGAGAGACTGGCACGGTGGCTCAGGCACTACTTGGGCTGCTCGCATCTGTATCAGAGTATCTGGGTTCAACTCTCAGTTCCATTTCTGATTTCACCTTCCCGCCAGTACACACCTTGGGAAGCAGCAGGTGTTGGTTCAGATCTTTGGCTCCCTGCCACCTTCTAGGGGTCCCAGAATGAGTTCCTGGCTCCCAGCTTTGGCCTGGCCGTTGCAGGCCTTTGGGGAATGAGTGAACAGATGACAGTCTCTCAATCTGTGTCTCTGTGTGTTTCAAATAGAAGTTCAACATTCAGTGTTATTTTTAATTAAACTTTTTTTTCCCCAAGAGCCCCAAAGGGCAGGTGTGGCTAGGACAAAGCTCAGAATGGAGCAGCTCTGGGTAGGTAGTGAGAGGGAACTCTGACTCTGCCCAGCTTCCTGGACAGGCAGACCTTTTCCAACCCAGAGACTCCTCAGAGACCCCCTGTGGACAGCAACCTTGTCCTATTTATATATTCTTCCCTGTTTTTTTAGTTTTTTAGTCTCAGTCCTGTAATTTTTTCAAAGACCAATTTTTATTTATTTTCACTCTATTTGAAAGGCAGAAAGATGGGACAAAGAAGGATCTTCCATCCGTTGGTTCATTCCCCAATGCCCACAAGAAGCCAAGGGTGGCCCAGGTGGAAAGCAGGATTCTTTTTTTTTTTAAGAGTCATTCTGAGACTTTTTTTTTTAAAGATTTTATTTGTTTATTTATTTATTTATTATTTTTATTGTAAAGGTGGATATACAGAGAGGAGAGACAGAGAGGAAGATCTTCCATCCGATGATTCACTCCCCAAGTGAGCGCAACGGCTGATGCTATGCCAATCTGAAGCCAGGAGCCTCTTCTGGGTCTCCCACGCGGGTGCAAGGTCCCAAAGCTTTGGGCCATCCTCAACTGCTTTCCCGGGCCACAGGCAGGGAGCTGGATGGGAAGCGGGGCTGCCAAGATTAGAACTGGCGCCCATATGTGATCCTGGGCATGCAAGGCGAGGACCTTAACCACTGCGCCACTGCGCCACTGTGCTGGGCCCAAAAGCAGGATTCTGCAGCTCAGTTTAGGTCTCGCACGTGATAGGCAGGGACCTGAGTGCTGTAGCCATCATCTTCTATCTCCCAAGGTGTGTTTTAGCAGGAAGTTGGATTAGAAATGGAGGCACTGGATTTGAGACAGGTGCTTGAATGTGGGATGCTGTCATCTGAACAGGCATCCCAAGTGCTATGCCCTTCATGTTGTAATGCCTTCTGCACCCCAGTAGCTATAGTTGGTGACCTTAGGATTCAGCCATTTTGGGTAAGTCAGGGAGGCAAAAGAGGGTGATTTTTCAGTTATTTCATTTATGGATAAAGGAGAAGGACAAATGCAGCACTGAATGCACGGTGGAGTATGATTTGTGTGACTTACATGAGGCAATCTGGGGATGCTTCAAAGCTCATGTGCCTTTCAGCTCCCCCTTGCCTGATGAGAATCCAATAAAGCAGCATTCCCCAGACCCCTTGTTCATAATATCCAGTGTCTTCTCTTACCTTCCACCACCCATGGTAGGTGTGATACAGTGTCTACCAACACAACAGCCAGACAACTACCACTACTTCCCTTCTATGCCTTTCTTGCCAGTCCAAGGAATTCTGTGCTTGAATACTCTCAGCCATTCCCCAAAATGATAAATGCTGTTCATTGATTTGAAAGTGAATCAATTTGGGCCCGGTGCAGTGGCGCAGTGGCACAAGTGGTTAAGGTCCTCGCCTTGCACGCCCGGGATCCCATATGGGCGCCAGTTATAATCCTGGCGGCCCCTCTTTCCATCCAGTTCCCCGCTTGTGGCCTGGGAAAGCAGTCGAGGACGGCCCAAAGCTTTGGGAACCTGCACCCGTGTGGGAGACCCAGAAGAGGCTCCTGGCTTCAGATTGGCATAGCATCGACCGTTGAGCTCACTTGGGGAGTGAATCATCGGACGGAAGATCTTCCTCTCTGTCTCTCCTCTCTGTATATCCACCTTTCCAATAAAAATAAAATAAATCTTTAAGGAAAAAAAAAAAAAAGAAAGTGAATCAATTTGAGTGGTTTCCCAAAAAGTTCGTGGAAAATGTATGTTATAAAAATGCTCATGAATTTCAAAAATTTTCTGCCTCCATCTTTTTTTAAAAAAATTATTTTATTTTTATTGGAAAGTCAGATATACAAAGAGGAGGAGAGACAGAGAGGAAGATCTTCCATCCGTTGATTCACTCCCCAAGTAGCCACAATGGCCAGTGCTGTGCCGATCTGAAGTCAGGAGCCAGGAGTCTCTCCTGAGTCTCCCACGTGGGTTGTAGGCTCCCAAGACTTTGGGCCATCCTCCACTGCTTTCCCAGGCCACAAGCAGGGAACTGGATGGGAAGCAAGGCCATCAGGATTAGA